TTATTTTTAACTTCATTCACTTCTTTCAAATTTAACTTCTGTAGAAATAATATATTATATGATTATTTATACACATACACAAATGCATGAAATTTACCACCCACAATTCATTCAAATGTAGATTATATTTTAATAAAACTGTATATTTTTAAAATATCTTAAATATATTCAGTACGATTATGTCATTTTATTTATTTATTTTTATAAATTTTAAAAATTATTCAGTACAATTATAAACTTATATAAAATTAAACTTTCAATTTTATTAAAAAAATTGAATAATCGGTTCAATTCGATCAGTAAATCAATTGTTTTGAAAAAAACATCGATACCCATAACTATAGTACTTCATCATAATATATTTGAAATCCTAGTTGGTTCATTTCTTTCATTTGTTCTTTCATATTTTAGTTTATTTCAATTTTTCACATTGATGGAAAAAGTTAATAGAAATTCATGAAATATTTCACACCTTTGCAAAGTCTATGTTTGTAAGTCGATGTTATCTCTGCGTAGTTGTTCTACGTACGTATGTGGAATTACTATTAAATTTGTACATATTTTTAGACAGAAGCAAATAGATCGATTTAGTCTATGCAGTTTACCAATCACAATTCAATAGACACGCACAAAATTAGCACCAAGACTTGAGAAAATATTTTTTTATCGTCTTTATCAATGAAAGTGTATCAAATAAAAAACAAAAATATTAAACCAACAAATATTAGCGATCTAGTGGTAGAACCATACCCCACTCAGGGTACTTATAACCTAGATTGTATTTTTCAAATGATGCATTTTATAATTGCGTAATTTAAGAAAATTGATGAAATGAACTTTTTCATTTTTACAAATCGACCGAATTCGTTGGATTTAATATTTTCCCTCGCCATTTAACGAATCGACTCTGTCTATTTCTTATGAAGCACTTGTATTATTCTTTTTGTAAGTTGTCAATTGTAATTATGAACAATTGTAGCAAAAAAAATTGTATTTAGCTATGAATTTTTTTCGTAGAAAATAGTTGAATTATTCACTACGAATATTAAGTCGTCGCTATTTAACACCTTACATATTTTGTGACAATTTTTTGTTGTCACTAAATCATAGATTGATTAGAGACAATAAATATTTGTCACCAATTATTTATATTATTAGTGACGAAAATAAATGTCATAATTAAATCTGAATTTTTATAGCTAAAACTTATAATATTTAACTACAAACTATAATTTGTCGATATTGTAACAACATATTTTTTTAGATGAAATTTTTCTGTGTCCAAAAATTAATAAATGTTAAGACAAAAAATAATTTGTCATGAATTAGATACATTATTAGTGACAAAATAATGTGTCACCGATAACTTTAAATTCGTGACTAACACTACTTAACAAATGGCGCCAATTAATTTTTTGGTGGGAAACTTTAGTGGACCAAACTTTGCTACGGATTTTTATGTTTTGTCACTAAAAGTATGTGTCTCATATATTTAAGCACGAAAAGTGAATCTTGTCACTAAAAGAGAACAATTAGTGACGAATTTGATATCGTAGCTATATATCATATTTGTTGTAGTGTGTAATATTTGTATTTTTTTTTTGTAGGTTGTGCACCCATACCTCACACCTACTATCCGTGAGACAAAAAAGAATTACTTGGCAACATTAAAGTCATATGTGGACGAAGTGAAGGATACAGTCCTCAATGCCTTAAAGGCAAATTTGAAAGGTGTGACTGTCCTTACTTCATAGAGAATGTGGAGGATGAGTATTTAAGTGATCACAATCCTAATCAACCTTGTGAGAATTATGTACCAAGTACTTCTAAAGATGAAAGTCTGTGTGAGCGTGTAATTGCATCCCTCGAGCAATCGATGGTGGAAATTGGTGCTTATGTACGAGAGGAGAAATTGAGAAGAAATGAAAAGAACAAGAAAAAAAGGTAGATAAATTTATATATTATTTCTGTAAAATAATTTATTTGTATTAATGCTTAACCACTAATCTTGCAGTAGATGATGACATTTTTTCAGCACCAACTATTGATGAAGAGATCCTTACATTAGCTATAGTTGATGATGATCTTGCTACAGTTGATGAATACTTTGTTGAAGAAGTTGATGAAGAGATGAAGGAAGAGGAGATGAAAGAAGAAGAGAAAGAGCAATATGAGGAGAAGATGATAGAAAAAGAAGAAGAGAACGATGAAGAAAAAGAAGAGGAGAAGCTAGAAGAAAAGAAAGAAGAAGAAAGTGAAGAGGAGAATTTGAAAGAGAAGAAAAATGAAGAAAATGAAGCCAGTGGAGAAGAAGAGAAAGAACAACAAGATGAGAGGATAACAGAGAATGAAGAAGAGGAAAAGTTGAAAGAAGAAGGCTTGGCCACTGATGTGGCAGAAGTGGAAAAAAAATAGACGTGATGGGTATTGTAATGTAGGTTAATGGTGATGAGTAAGAGCATTTGTGGTTTTTGTGATGGGTATTGGTGTTTTAAGAAATTTTTTGAAATAGTTGATTTTTTATGATAATTGATTTTTGTGATAGTTGAATTTTCCCTGGTTTGAAGACAATTGGTTTTTTGAGATAGTTTTTTAAGACAATTAGTTTTTGAAATAGTTGGTTTTTAAGAACATGGTTAAAGTGTTTTGCTATTTTTGACGACAAAAATGTACATCTGACAGTTTAACATATTTTATTATGAAGGGTTTTTAGATTTCTTATTAATCTATGTCTTAATAGTATGTAAATTTTGCTATCACTGTTGATCTATTTAGTAGTCAATTATCGACAATAAATTTGTATGTTTAATACTATAGATTGTTATCACTGTTGATCTATAACATTATCGATAAAAAATAAAGATATAAGAGTGCAATAAATAGAGAGAAATACTTTATTTATTCAGCACTACATTCCCGTAGCTTTTTTAATATTTCAAATTTGATAACGCCTTGAAAATTCGATGGGCTACTCGTTGATGATTCATTTTCAAGCCATCTAAAAAGAGAGCATATGCCCACTGCACAATTAAAGAATTATCGACCTGGATTTGTATTAGCGTGTGATGTCCTCAACGTAGCTGGATTACCATAATGACAATTGTAAGACTTTTTTGCATTGGATGTTTGAGATGCTTGAGACATTGTAAAAATGGAGGTGTTTGAGTTGTTTATGAGGGATTGCCTTCTTTTTATACAAAAAAATAATCAAATGTTACCGTTGAAAAGTAGCATTTGAACTTTTATTACCGTTGTGAAATTTGTATATCAAAATATATAGACCCCTTATACAATCGATGCATATATATGTGTGTGGTGTGTGTATGACCAATGAGATCTACACTCTGACATTAGTAAGGTATATTTGAGTTTATATCTATGTTAAAGCATTGTCGATACTGCACCTACTAGAATATGACACTTATATATAGACCAAAACTAGTAGAATTTAAAAAAGACAACAATTAATTAATAATAAATTATATTTTTGAAATTTGTCCAATTAAATAAGTTAAACAAGTCATATGATCATGTAAGAGTCCACATAAATTGGGTGTGGTGATTAGAGATCTATGAGGAAGATTTGTGATTATTCAATCAACTTCCTTAGAACAATGTTCGAGAAAGTATAAGTATGTTGTAAGGATGTCACTTGTTATGTGTGGTTATACAATCAACATCCTTAGAATAAGCATGCGATCATGTATGAGTCTACATAAATTGGGGGTGGCAATCAACAATGTGTGGATGAACAAAATGTATGTCATCTTTTGATTGATCTATATTAGATCACGACTATGAGAGTGTTTGACAATTAGCAAAGTGACTTATTTTAAGCCAAAAGCTAAAAGCTAGGTGAGGGGAGCTTTTTTTTTTTTTTTAATTTAAAAGCCATTTTATGTTGACCAAGTATATTACCTTTTTGCCCTTAATTCTTTTATACAATTTCCAAATTGCCCATATTGAATTATTATTATTATTATTATTATTTTATTATAATTATAATTATAATTATAATAATAATTATTATTATTACTATTACTATTACTATTATTATTATTATTATTATTATTACTATTACTATTACTATTATTATTATTATTATTATTATTTTATTATTATTATTATATTATTATTATTATTGCTATTATTATTATTATTATTTTATTATTATTTTTTATTATTATATTTTATTATTATTATTATTTTATTATTATTATTATTATTATTTTATTATTATTACTATTACTATTATTATTATTATATTGTTTTTATTATTATTATATTATATTATTATTATTATTTTATTATTATTATTATTATTATTATTTTATTATTATTATTTTATTATTTTATTATTATTATTATTATTTCTGAAATATGAATTTATATTCCTCTTATAAGGTGGTAAAGAAATATGTGAATGATAGGAAAATATTATTACTTATGGATGTAAACTATAAATTATTTTTTAAAATTTTTTTTTTTTAAGTATAAAAACCTTAAATTAATCAACTTTTTATCATGTTAACAGCTTAAAGGGTATTTCAGACATTTTGATAAAAAAAAAAAGTGTTTGCCAGCACTTATTTGCCAAACACATCAACAACTTTTTTTTCAACTGCAACACTTTTATCCAAACACATAACTACTTATTTTAAAAATAAGTTACAGCACTTTAAAAAGTTACTTTTTTTAAGTCAATCCAAACGGGCTCTAATTACGATAATAGATGACAATAAATTGACCAAAATGCTGGCAGAAAAAAAAAACAGTAGCTTGATTACAAAAATAAATTCAATCAAGCTTGTTTAAGATTTGTTGTTGTTTACACATGTAGTTCTCTTGTGTCTGGTTCTTTTACAAATTGAACATTTGTTCCTTCTCTTGTTCTTGAAATTCACACCGACGCCTTTGACACGTTTTCTTCTTTTTCTTCCAAGCTTGGTATGAACAAGAGGTAAAAGAATCTTCACATTAAGCAATTCTTCTGGCACACATCATTTCGACTCAGGAGGGACAACATTAATAGAATCCATGTATTCAAGAAGGTACGCTTCAACTTTATACAAAAGCGAATAGTACTCATAGATGCTCATACCATACTCATTGTCATGCTTCAATCGCAAAGCGGCCATCGCGTGAGCACAAGGTATCTTGATAAAGTAATATTCCCTACAAGAACATGACTTTTCCAGTAGGTCCACATAGTCAGTAGCACCTGCACCGAACACGGTGAATTGATTGTCGTCCCCTATTACGTTCTCCACATATAAGGAGTCGCCCTCGATCATTTTCTTTCTTGTGATTTTTTTGGCAGAAGGCACTGTTTGAATACCCATTGATTTAAGGATATATGCATGCCTCTCCCTGAATAATTCTCCAAACCTCTTAGCAATCGAATTAAATATTGATGTCATGAGATACTCCCTTTCATCTATCAACATAGCATTGATTGACTTGGTGATATTTGTGGTCATCACATTATATCTATTGCCAGGAAAATGTGCCCTGCTCCACTTCTCAAAACCAATATCATACTCAAGGACGATGGCTGTCGCGGGACATTTGTTCTTGAATTTTACAAAATGATTGTCAAACTCCTCCAAATAATAAGCCTTTACCGCATTATAGTAAAGATAAAGGTAATCTCCACAATGATAATTTACATGGAGATTTTTATTAAGGTGCCTCATACAATATTCGTGGTGAGCATGATTGTAAACGCTCACAATGCCATTGGCGATGCTCTTGTGTCTATCGGAGATAAAGCACAAATTTGGTTCATCGACCATAATCTCGTTCAATTTCTCAAAGAATAATGTCCAAGATGCATCATTCTCTTTTTTCCACGACACAAAAAACAAATGGATAAACATGATTTTCTGTATCTTGTGCAACAACACTCAATAACATGCTCTCGTATTTACCATGTAAATGAGTGCCATCAACCGCAATTACCTTTCTCATGTGGACAAATCCCTTAATGCAAGCACTGAAGGCCAAGAAATAATACATGAACCTATGACTATCCTTGTTTACCATGATACAATAGCTAGAACTAACATTAAATGTCTCGAACATGTAAGAAAAAGTCGGTAAGCATGAATATCCGTTCTTCGTTGTCCCTCGGACCTTTTTCTTGGCAACCACACCTCCCTTCCAACATTTTCAATAGCTTGGACTACAACGAAAAGAATTAAACATAGCCCTTTGAATCTCTTTAACATTTGGACCCTTGCCATCACGGTACATATTTACACAAAGTGAAGCAATGACTTTGATTGAAATTTTTCTATGACTACTATTGGCATGTTCAATGCCACAACTATGCTCGCCAATGTACTTGTAGATATGAAATCTATCCGAACACTCATATTTCCTCGCCCGCAACATCCATGCACAATTGCGAGATACACATTTCACCTTTAAGTATTTAGTACAACTCTTCATAGTAGCAAAATCAAAAGACTTCTTTGTTGCTGCTTCGGCTAATAACAATTGCAAACTCATTCTTGTTACTGAAAGTTTGGTTTATGCATAAATTAGTTCCATCGGAGAAGGAATGGTTGGATTGTGATCCCAATTCCTGTTCTCCCTGCATTTCTTCACAATATTCGGGTTCGGTATCTTCCGCGTCTACTGGCTGATATTCCACGTTAGTTGGATCATCATGCATATTCATTGAATGATCACCCAAACTCTCATTTGAATTATAACCCAAGCTCTCTTTTGAATGATCACCCAATCTTTCATTTCCAATCAAATCATTGTCGCTGTTAAATGAATTCGTTGGTTCAATTGGAGGCCTTGCATTGACGTTTATCCTCAATGTAGGCCTAGAGCCATCAATACCAATATCTAACATGTACAAGCTTACGTGCCTATAATTTTTTTTTATGAATGTGGGATGTATTTTCCCCTCCAATTCATTTGATAGCTAATCACCAAGTCATTTGGTTCGTAAGTTAATTCACTGGCCTCAATTACGCTTGCAATCATATCGTCATATGAACCATTGTGATGCAACACAATGGGCACTATCGTCTTACTAAATGATTTCCAATTCCAGCTTTTGGGAGTCTCCTCCCATACTCCCATATAATCACCACCAACAACAACAAATTCAGTTATTGCCATTATAGACTACAAATATCGATACTAGATTACAATATCACTCGTTAACGATCGATGAAGTACGACATCTGTACAAAAACACGACTAGATGAGATCGTGGTTCAAAATTCAGCTCCTGCAATGGCAAAACAGATTTTTAAAGCTTTTAAACTAAACAAATGTATCTACTAATGAGTTATCAAGTGATTGTGGAAGATTTCTCAAATTTCTTAAATGGCGGGAAACTCATTTTGAAGCTTGGTTTTTGAAAGAAAATGGAGTAGGATATGATCATGATTTTAACTTGAAAATGGATATTTTGGCTGGAAAACTCGCTAGAATTGACAGTTTCGACAGCAGCAAAAACGAGCTGCTATTCTTTCCCATTTGGCTTTTTTCTTTTTTCTAATATAATTTTTAACAAATGCTAATAGATATATAATATTCCAAATTAGTTGGAAAAAAGGGGGGGGACCAACGTGGCGATATGGAAACTTAGGGAGGTCTTTTGTATGTGTCAATTAGGGCACATGGATGATGTCATTAATAGTGGGTATACCACAAATTATTCAAGACTTGTGACTTAATGTCTTTAGAGTGACTATTTTGCCAACTCTCCCTAGTTAGAATATATAAACTAGACCTAACCATTAAAATACTCATATGAACAACTACTGTAGTCGAAACACTATTAAAATAACGGAAAAGGGTCAAAATTACCTTTTAACTATTCAAAATAGATCAAATATAACCTTTAACTATTTTTGGGCTCAAAACTACCCCTGTCTTCTAACTATTGGATCACTTCTACCATTTCTTTTAACGGACTAATATGTGGCATCCAACATGTAATGGACGTCCACCTAATCACACCAAAGTGACTAATCCACCCACCCATTAAAAGTAGGTCCTGCAAATGTTAAGGCAGATAGGAAAATTAGGTATTGTTTAACTCGTTTTAGAGGGATCCAGAGATCAATATGTTAGAGAACATGGAGCGTGGATTGGTTGATTCTTAAAGGCCTGAAGAACTGCAATATGGAGGTGCCAGAGGTTCCATAAAGAACCAAGAAATATTTCAGAAACAATTCATAATATGTGTATATCTGTGTACTTCATACAATAAAATGGTATAACCCATTTTGAGGATTTCAATATCAATTAGATGCATAAGAATATATAAGACTGATAATCGAAACTATAATTTCGCAGGAGCAAAACACCAATTGCCTCCATAAAGTTCATTTCGAGGAGATAAGGATCAATAGTCAATATAGATTTCAATAAACATCTAGCCACAACAAGTGTACAAACTCAAATTCAAGCAACAATTCATATTGATAGCAACCTTTCTCCAATAATACATCATCCTCAAATTTCATCAAGTATTCTGAATTTTAAATCCATATGCGCAAATCCTAAGATAATCACAGACGTAGATTCAATGTTCATTCATTTCAAACTATGAATTGAAATTTGAAGTTTCCTCAAAACTAGTAAATCTAGAATAATTGAATCTGAATTTCACGATTATCAAGAAAATAAGACAAGAAATAGAATGATATTGAAGAAGAAGGAACCGACGCAGAGGTTCTCGGAAAGAGGCTGAAAAGAAAACCTACGGGAAGGTTTTAAGGGGTGGGTGGGTGGATTAGTCACATTGCTATTGTTGTGCCGTAATTTTACTATCCTTTAGAAAAATCACTATTTTGAAATGTTCTAAGTATAAAACAATTTAAGAAAACTACTTAGAAAAGAGTTGTCACTTAATTTTTTAAAGAAATTAAGAAAACTTATAATTTTCAAAGATTTAAACAGAAAAAATCATTTGAAAATACCAAAGAGGGTTCGGGGTTCAATTTGCACTTCGAGAAGGGTTTAAGCATTCGAAGTGCCCGCTAACATGCGGTTGACCTGCGACTTGACTAAAATATATTTGACTATTTTTAGGAAAATAATGATTCAACATAATAACTTACAATATTTGATTAACTTTGAGAGAATGATTAAATAAATGAAGCTTTTTTTTAAAGGGACCCAAAAATGAAACATTTGAATTAAATTGCAAATAATTAGAATATTAATAAAACTAGATTAATTAGGACTTACTTGACTCATTTTTTTTTAAAAATAAAATAATTTAAACCAAATTGGTTAGTTTAAGCATGAACATCACTTTAAATTAATTGAAGAATAAAAACAAAGTTTTGACCAACTTTTTGAGAAAAAGCGACAAAAGTAAAAGAAAACCATTTTTTAAAGTTTATTGAGGAAAAATACTTAACTTAAAATAATTTTAGAATGAGCAAAAATGTGTGAAGAAGCGTTAAATAACACATTTTTTCAAGAACAAACGATTTAACTTAATTGAGGATGTAAAATTTGACCAAAATTTAATTAATAAAATAAATGACCTCAACACAAAAAAAAAGTATTCAAAGAAAATAACTCGTCTTTTGGGGGAATCTAATTAAGTTAATTAAAAATTATAAAATTAGAGTTAAACAACAAACAATAAATAATCACAATGAAATAATTAAAGAGCAAGGGAGAAATGAATTTGGGCCTCCTTTTGGGCCAATTTCGCTGGAATTTTTTGGGTTTTAACCTAATCCTGTTTTTGTATACACCTGATGTATATCAGTGTACATGATGTATATTTTCGCAAATCTGCTGCACATAACCCTGTATTTCAGCTTCCCAGACTTATGTTTCGCCTTAGCCATGTATTTCACCATTTTGGCATGTATATCAATGTATACTACTGTATACATCATGTATACAACCCATTTCCAACTTTGCGAGACTGTTATTTCGCTTCTGAGACCTGTACACCAGCTTCCTTTTCACCGCAAAGATGAGGATGACTCAACAGACTCAAAGATATGCAAGAGTGGAGTCTGAATAGACTCGAGTTGATGTCATATGTAACAAAAGAAAGGGAGAAAATTAGTACAATAACTCGAAAATAAAAGAAGAAACAATTGAGCACCATTTAGGATGACTCAACAGACTCAAAGATATGCAAGAGTGGAGTTCGAATAGACTCGAGTTGATGTCATATGTAACAAAAGAAAGGGAGAAAATTAGTAGAATAACTCGAAAATAAAAGAAGAAACAATTGAGCACCATTTACAACAAAATATTGAACTTAACTTAAATGATCCTAAGCTAACCAACTGGGAGATAGAAACTACAAAATATGATCAATGTTGACAAGCTACAAACAAATGAAAACAAGTCATATAACTCCTTGAGGACACACAAATGACAAGTTAATAAGAAAGATAATCCCACTTAAAGAATTCATCAAATTCATTTATCGGAGGACATGCTACAGGGAATACTATGCTACTGTTTTCAGATTTTACAAAGTTACTCTTTCTACTAAAAGAGATACCACACTACTCTTCTCGAAAAAAAATAAATGAAACTCTAGATATTGTATTAAATCATGATCATTTTTATCATTTTTGGAATTTGTATTGCATCGGTTTACAAAAATTGAGGAAAGGTTGTATTCATATCTAAGCAAACAAAGGAACGGTATTACTCCTGATGGTTACTGAGGCAAACTATGAGAAAATCATGATAAATGAATGACTATACATTCATACTTAATATATTCACAAGCTACCGGAATACTAAAAAATTAATGAGCACAAATGCTAGGATTGAT